ATTCATTAAAATATGTCTAGCAAAATAATTTTGGGCTTATTTGTGTGGCAGGCTGTCAGGGCTATTATGTCTGTAAATTTCATCCAGTTCTGTGAAAAAGGGGGTGTGGGGGAGACGGGAAGTTGCAGCTGTCCGTCCCCCCCAATACTAGTTAATGGGGTAAGTAGAAAGATTCATTTTTACAAAGCGGATTCACACACAGAACCTGATCCAAATTGGACAGGTTCTAAAAATTATTTGGACTGCAGCATACTGGTTTTTTTGAAGTGCCAGATCTGGATCCAAATGGAATCTTGGTGCCCATTCTTTCTCAGTTTGGAGTTTGAGTCACCAAAGGATAGCAACACCTAATGTAGCAACCACCACCACAATGCTTTAATTGGAGCAATGATGGCACTACTTACACCTGAAAATAATAATAATAATAATAATAATAATAATAATAATAATAATAATAATAGAATTGCATTTGGAGCTGATAACCCTTTGCTGAGGACCACTGCCCCATTGAACTTGTTGTGACTGACTTCTGTGTAAACCTGCTTTAGGGATCATGTAGGAAAAGAGGAGTAAGCAAGGTTCAGTTTTTGGACAAGTTTAGCTCAATCGATAAAACATGAGACTCTGAATCTCAAGGTTGTGGGTTTGAGCAGCACGTTGGGCAAAAGATCCCTGCATTTCAGGGGATGTGGTGTGATTCTATGAAAGGGCGCCGAGAGTCACCTATTCCAACCTCCTGCAATCTCAGCTAAAGCATCCATGACAGGTGGCCATCCAACCTCTGCTTAATAACCTCTCCAATGAAGGAAAGTGTACCAACTTGCAAGGGAGTCTATTCCACTGACAGTAGAATGTGAAATCTGGTAGTATTTACCTGCAATTTATGGAAGAAGAAGAAGAAGAAGAAGAAGAAGAGGAGGAGGAGGAGTTTGGATTTGATATCCCGCCTTTCACACCCTTTAAGGAGTCTCAAAGCGGCCAACAATCTCCTTTCCCTTCCTCCCCCACAACAAACACTCTGTGAGGTGAGTGGGGCTGAGAGACAAAGAAGTATGACTGGCCCAAGATCACCCAGTTTCCCAGATTACGAGACTACCGCTCTTAACCACTACACCACACTGGCAATTTATTTTTCTTGGGTATTCAGTTGGCACCAACCACCTAAACATCTGTCATAGGTTTGGGAAGTGTTGAAGCTAGTTTCCATATTATTATATTTACCTTACTGTATATATTATATATTTACCTTATGAAAGCTAAATTCATTTAGCTTTCATAGGGTGATATCATGCTGTTTGCCCACTAATGGGAGGAACCTGACAGCAGAATGGAGAGCAGGGCCAATTTTTACCATTGCAGCCCCTCCCCCCCCTCTAAATTTGCTCTGGAGCATTCCCTAAATATGAAACTGGTTCTGATGTTACAGGTTTGCCTAGAATCTTGAATTTTCCTTTCATACTTTATGTTTAAATGTTTTGGAGATTGTCCTTGGACAAGAGATCAGTTTATGAATCTTTCAGGGTGCAACAGTCAAAATGTTAAATTACTGCTACAATTACAGATAGGTAGCCGTGTTGGTCTGCCATAGTCAAAACAAAATTTTTTCCTTCCAGTAGCACCTTAAAGACCAACTAAGTTAGTTCTTGGTATGAGCTTTCAGATGAAGAAGTGTGCATGCACACGAAAGCTCATACCAAGAACTAACTTAGTTGGTCTTTAAGGTGCTACTGGAAGGAAAAATTTTTTGTTTTGACTACTGTTACAATGTTAGATTGCCGTTACAGTATTTATTTATTTATTTCCTTTGTGTCTATCAACTTTGCAAAAACTGCCTCAACGTGTCACATTCTTACAGTCTTCCGCTCCTGAAGTTGTTATATAAAACACAGATTTTTGAAAGGGAGTATGGTAGGTTTTGAAATTGCTTGAGGGAGATCTTCAACTTAATTAATGGTGAACAGCTAGGCCAGGCTTTCTCAACCTTGGGCCCGCTGCTGTTGTTGTACTACAACTCCCATCTTCTCTAGCTAGCAGGACCAGTGGGCAGGGCTGATGGGAGTTGTAGTCCAACACCCAAGGTTGGGAAAGGCTGAGCTAGGTGATGATGCTAGATCTGTCACTCTGTAAACTTTAACGTAAAATTAAGCAACACGTTTTTCTCCCCACCCCACCCTGGGCTGGATACAAGAAGATGGTACTTGTTGGGGGATTTGTGGTACCTCGGGTTAAGTACTTAATTTGTTCCGGAGGTCCGTTCTTAGCCTGAAACTGTTCTTAACCTGAAGCACCACTTTAGCTAATGGGGCCTCCTGCTGCCGCTGCACCGCCGGAGCACGATTTCTGTTCTCATCCTGAAGCAAAGTTCTTAACCTGAGGTAATATTTCTGGGTTAGCAGAGTCTGTAACCTGAAGCGTATGTAACCTGAGGTACCACTGTATAGCATTCTCTGTTCTAATTCTTTCCTTTTGATGAAAATCAGTAGCTGTTTTACCTAAGGTATGAACTTTCCCACTAAAAAGTTAGGGATTCCCTGTGATGCATTGTAGGATATGAGAACACTTCGCCCTTAATTGAAAGTATTCCCTTTTCTCTGTGAGTATCACAGTCAGTGACTTCTCTTGAGCAGCTAATTAGTGCGATTATTCCGCAGCTGCATTAGTTTCACCGCAAAGGTTTTTTCTCTTGTTTTATCAAAAGGATCAGTCTCCCTGGGAATGTTTCAACCTGACAGGCCTGAAACAGCAAGATGGTCATCATTCTCCACCCCTACCCCCATCTATTTGGGCGGCGGGATGTTGGAGGGGAAAAAATAGTTCGGTCTGAAATGTGGGTTTAAACCTTTTTTTGGTCTTGAAATACTCACATTTCAAACTACAGATTATTGACATGAAGAATGAAAATATGCTTATTTAGATATGTTAATGTACAGCTCTGGATGTTAATTGGGGAGGATGAGACTTTGCTCTGTTTGTCTATCTTTTATGTCTAGTGGGGCACTCTTAACAATTTCTGTCCCTATTTGGGGTTTTTCTCAAAACATACACAACTTTTCCCTCCTAGAAATGAATCCTAATTTGTTTTCAATAGCAAAATCTATAGGGATAGAATCCATGAAGGTCCTTAATATTACCTACCTTTACTGATAAATTTGTATGGTTCTCTGGAAGTGATTACAGTGGTACCTCGGGTTAAGAACTTAATTCATTCTGGAGGTCCACTCTTAACCTGAAACTGTTCTTAACCTGAGGTACAACTTTAGCTAATGGGGCCTCCCGCTGCTGCCACACCACCACAGCGCAATTTCTGTTCTCATCCTGAAGCAAAGTTCTTAACCCAAGGTACTATTTCTGGGTTAGCAGAGTCTGTAACCTGAAGCATCTGTAACCTGAAGCATCTTTAACCCGAGGTACCTCTGTACTGATTAAAAGGGAACCATAGGCTGAACTTCATTTTTTGCGGAGGTGGGAATGCTCACCTAATGTTCACTTCTGAAAACTCCCTTATTTAAATTTCTATTTTAATTGCATATATATATTAGGGATGGGCAGTATATCGATATTTTGTCTCTTATTGCTATGAACTCCAGACCGCAATAAAGGTTTCTCTCTCTCTCTCTCTCTCTCTCTCTCTCTCTCATACACACACACACACACACACACACAGAAGTCAAACCTTGGTTGTTGAACGTAATCCGTTCCGGAAGCCCATTCGGCTTCCAAAATTTTCGACAACCGAGGCATGGCTTCTGATTGGCTGCAGGAGCTTCCTGCACTCAAGTGGAAGCCGTGTCAGACTTTTGGCTTCCAAAAAATGTTTGGAAACCGTAACACTTACTTTCGGGCTTGTGGCGTTCAGGAGCCAAAACGTTCCAAAACAGAGGCATTTGGGAACCAAGGTTTGACTGCAGACTTAAACTCACTCTCAAGTTCAGTGAGCGAAAAGTCACCCCACAACTTCTCCCCTTCACATAAGTGGCAATCAGCTTCTTTGATTACATGCTGTGGAATCAATGTGTGGTACTGGGTTACTTCCATTTTTATATGCTTTGATGCAATATGCCAGCAGATTAAATTTAGACCAGAATGCACTTGTGTGCTTGTTTGCTGGAGGTCTTTTCAGAGATTGAGGGTGAAATATTTGCAGTAGTCCTAGGATTGTGTTGTTGTTTAAGAAGTATCTGAAGGTCAGAAATATGCTCATGGTGATTGGCCATGACCCAGAAATACATGCAGAGTCCATGTGCACTGTGGCTTTCTCAGGCAATAACTCCCTTGCAGAATATTAATAATAAAAAAGCAGTTTCCATGTTTGTCATTTTATCAGCTGTGAGGGTGCATTTCTGCCTCACTATATGAAATCAATCGAAACAAGGGACCCAGAATGGTAATTTAGGGTGCAGTCCTATACCCAATTTCCTTTGAAATCAAACCTTTTTTTTTTTAGTAGTAGACATGTATAGGGATTGCACAGTTGATTTGATTGTTTTGAAACGGTTAGCTCCACCACCAGACTTTTTGACAAAAAGGAACCTTGTTCGAAAGGAGAAAAAAAAGAAAACACATTTATATATATGTCATGGATGCTTTAGCTGAGATTCCTGCATCGCAGAGGATTGGGCTGGATGGTTCTCCCTTCCAACTCTACAATTCTAATGATTCTATGAGACATGCACCTAAACTATAGTGGTTATAAAATCATTTGAGTGCTTATCACGCAGCAGTATTTAACTATGCATATCAGAGCTGTGCGTTAAGTTTTGAACGATTCATTCAGAGTTGAACTTGAAAGGGAAAGGTATGGATTTTACATAACCAGGCTGCTAAGACCCACTGACTGAGCAACTAGTTAAAAATCTCAGCCCTTGCTATGTATGCTTTGACAAAGATTCCCTTCCCCTGGCGCATGTGGTCTCCCCCACCCCCAGTGCAAGTCTACAGAGTCCAGCCAATGCAATCGATGAGTAATGGAACTATCTGTGTCTTCTGGTCTTTCCCCCCAGCAGCTCTGAGCACCCTGGAGCTTCGAAGCCCCCGCTAAGCTCCTCCAGTATGACATCACGGATTTTGCTACGACAGCAGCTCATGCGTGAGCAGATGCAGGAGCAGGAGCGCCGAGAGCAGCAACAGAAACAGCAAGCAGCCCAGTTCATGCAGCAGAGAGTGGCGCTGAGTCAGACACCAGCCATCAACGTCAGCCTCCCAGCCAGTCTCCCTCCTGCTACTCAAGTGCCAATGGAAGTCCTCAAGGTATGTGAAGTTTCCAACGTGGGGCTCTGGAGCTCCATTAAGAAGGTTGTCTCTCTCTCTATACAATTAGCACGAGTGTTTCTAAAAGTGGTTCACCTATAGCAGTGTGATCAATTTCATCGCCCGTCCCCTTTTTGCAGCTGCTGTGCTTTTCCCCAGGTAAGTCTAACCAGGGCCGGGAAATGAAAGCTACGTTTTAGAAAAAGAAAAGCATTTAAGAACAAAAAGGGCGAGCTTTTGAAAAAATGGATGCGAAACACACGGTTTTAAAAACTGCCCCCCAAATTTCAGACATTTAAAAAAGAAGGACTTACCCGAATTCTTGCATTTTCAGATTTCCTGGTTTCTGTGCAATAAGCGTTAAGAAAAAATACCGGCGAATAGCTTTGTTCAGAAACTTAGGAAAGATCCCGCACAAAGGATTGTTTCAGAAAGCCTTAATCTGGAATACGGTCTTTTGCTGTTTGCCACTAGTAATCCTTTTTTGCTCAAATGACTTCATTCCTTTTTGTAGCTTTTGTGCTCTTTCCTCCTCCAGTGTCCTAATTACTGGGGAGAATCTGTATCTGGAACTGACAGAAATGCAGACTTCTTCACTTCACCGCAGTTGGGTTAGACCAGCTACCGCAGAGTAGCGCAATTACTTTTAAGCGACACTCAGAATTTGAAAATAATTTATGTAACTCCAAAATTCAGAAGAGATGCTGCAATTGGGTGTTAGTTTTACCCCCCCTGCTTTTGCACCTGCGACATATATAAACCGTATTTTCCCCACTTAAATTGATGGTTGGGTAATTTTCACTGCTGTGTGTCCACATGTGTGCTGCAATATAGCAGTGCCTATGGCTCTCCAACAATATAGTTAATTGGGTACTTTAAAAGTAAAGCTTAGTTTGCAAATGCAGAGAGACTACTTCAGTTAAAGCAGGGGTAGGAGAACCTGTGGCTCTCCAGTTGTTACTGAAATACAACTCCCATCAGCCCCAGCAAGTATCATTAGTGGCCAAGCATGATGGGAATTGTAGTTCAGTACCATCTGGAACACACACGTTTTCCACCCCCAACTTAAAGCACATTAACAAATATTAGCAATGGCTGTTGTGGTGGCATTGGTTATGTTAGATGGCTAAGCAAGGTCGCAGGTGAATTTGCAGGAGTCGACCCTACATGTCTTTGTAGAATTAGGTATGAGAAGGTGGCTGCACAGGATCATATTCTTGGAACGTGAGATGTGTGGGATAAGATTTTGATGGAATGCAAGGCAAGACCATGGTCTAGAAACTGCATAGAACATATGTACTGCATCTAATACACAACCTGATCTTTTGTCTTGTTCCTTGTTGGGTAAAGCACTCTGAGAAGGTTTTGTCATCTTTTGTGAACTCGGATGAAAGTAAATGACTCCAATGAAAAGAAATGGGCATGTGGATATATGAAGCAGCCTCATTCTGAGGCAGACCTTTGCCAATTCTGCTCACTGATAGGGGGATCTGCAAAATGTGCCCCTTTTTGTAAACCAGGGATCACCAACAGGCAAACTTGGAATTTTGAAGGAATGTTGTGACTGCTCTGAAAAAATGCTGCCCCAGAGGGTGTCCATTCACAAAATGGCTACCTCCCTAATAAATTAACATAAAAAATGAAGTGTTTTATACAGTGTCAGACCATAGGTCTACTTAGGTCAGTGTTGCACTCCACAGGGTCTCCAGAGACTAATAATAAAAATAAAAATACAAATTCAAGTCTTGCTATCCAAAATCCTTTTAACTGAAGAGGCCAGATATTGGATTGGGGACTTGTTGCATATAGGTTATGAGCTTGACCATTGATTTCCATTCCATGTGTGGTCTGTATGGGCTGTGTCCGTTTCTTGTAGTGAAGTGACGGCAACTAATGACTATCTATTTATTTATGAGAATTATATGCTGCCCTTCATCAAAAGATCTCGGGGCAGTTCACAGAGTAAAATACAGGATAAAAATAAGAAAATGAGTAAAACAAAAACAGCAAAACAATAACTCCCCTAGAGCATGAGTCTGAAATTAAAACTTTTAGAGGATGTGAATATTTTTGTGCATAAGTGAACCTCAGTGCGTGAGATTTAAAGCTTTGCAGTACATTTGTTTAGAGTTGGAAAATAGTTACCATAAAGTCTTTGTGCAGAAGCTATAATTGGACACTTTAGATTAATGTAGGTTTTAATTCTATACCGTAAAATCCTGCGGTTAATCCTTGAACTCTCTTGAATTCAGCAGGGGCCTGCCTGTCAGTTCTGATCTGAAATGGTTTGTCATCTCTTTCTCCATCAGTCTGATCTTGACTATGACAGATCTTATGCCAAAGTAGGGACTGAAAGAAATGTTGTAAATTCTTGCTGAGTAAGAGTAAATTGTAACTGACGAGACCACCAAGTGATTTGTCTATCCAATAAGCAATATGTCCACCCAGCATGAATTTAATATTGAAACACTACAGGGAGGTCCTATGCATGTCTACCAAGAAATAAGTCCTATTGAATTCAATAGAACTTGCTTCCAGGTAATCATGTGTGTTGGATTGTATCCTATGCAACTAGAAGGAGTGCTAATTTATGGACATGTGCAATTTAGAATTAGATCTGAGCCAAAATGCTTTCCTAATTTTATCTCCCTAGTTTACAGGCTCCGGAACTTAGGGCTCTTTCGGCTATTTGGGAAGGATACAAAAAGTGGTGAACATCATTTGCCGTGAACATCAGTAGCAATGGTGCACCACAACATTGCTATGGTTAGTTGTTGACCACCATGTTTCCTTTTCATGGGAGCCGGTGTGGTGTGGTGGTTAAGAGCAGTAGTCTCGTAATCTGGGGAACCGGGTTCGCTTCCCTGCTCCTCCACATGCAGCTGCTGGGTGACCTTGGGCCAGTCACACTTCTTTGAAGTCTCTCAGCCCCACTCACCTCACAGAGTGTTTGTTGTGGGGGAGGAAGGGAAAGGAGAATGTTAGCTGCTTTGAGACTCGTTAGGGTAGTGATAAAGCAGGATATCAAATCCAAACTCTTCTTCTACTTCCAACATAGATTATCACAATTATGATACATCTTTGCTAGTTTAACAGGGGTCAAATACCATCTATACATCATTTTCATTATATTTTCCTTTAACATTGTACATGCAGTGAACTTAACCCCTTTCTTCCACAATCTTTCCCAATCCTCAAACATTATGTAATGTCATACATCTCTTGCCCAATCTGTCATCACTGATTTAACTTGTTCATCCTTTGTATGCCACTCCATCCTGGATCATAACCTTAGCCACTATATAGCTGAATTAATTAACACACTCTGAAAGTCAAGTGAGATCAAATGTTAATGCCTAGTTCCTCCAACAAAAAGTATGTGTTCCAACAGTGCAATAGGAATCTGGTTTTGAAACCCAATGGGTGAACAGTTTGTGAGGGCCCAAGAGTAACATAATGAGTTAGATTGCTGAAGCTAAGCTGCATATCTTGTCTCTGTGTATGTAATGCCAATATCTTAATTTAGTGCTGCATGCAGTTTTAAAAATGAATTTCCCAAATTAATTTAGGAAACTAAATTTCCTATGCTAAACTAATATTGTTATCAGTGGAGGAAGTTAGAAAACATGGAAAAGCCTTTCCAGTTACAGTGTATTCCCATCCAGTAGTCTCCTTATCACATGTCAAATAGTTTTGCTGCCATAAACACTAGAAACTTGACTTTTGAAACTGGAGAACTTCTGAAAATGTCAAGAAAGTCTTATGGATCTTGCAGCTGAAGATTCTTAGGGCCACAAATTGCTTGCATCATCTGGAACTACCTCTTCTGTGTACCCCTTCACTATGGGTGAAATCCAGTGTTTGGAACAACTTGATCCAGCAGAGATATCCACTAACAAGGATGGGGGGGGGGAGATGAAAAACAAACAAACTAACGCTGTATTGTTGTGGCTGAATTCAGAGTCAGGGATGTCTGGGCTAGGGAAAGGGGCCGCTGGTATTTGAGTTTGTATTTTTATTTTCTGGTCAGTGAGTGGGAGTATTGTATGGTGGTTTGTAGCAGAGCACCTGCTGTTCAACTGGAAGGTCCCACGTTTAATCCCCATCATCTCCAGGTAGGACTAGGAAATACCCCTATTGGAAACCCTGGAGAAGCCATTTCCAGTCAGTGTAGACCAGTGATGGCCCAACTTGGCCCTCCAGCTGTTTTGGGACTACAATTCCCAGCATCCCTGACCACTGGTCCTGTTAGCTAGGGATGATGGGAGTTGTAGTCCCAAAACATCTGGAGGGCCAAGTTTGGCCGTCACTGGTGTAGACAGGCATGAGCTAGATGGACTCGTTACCGTCTGACTCAGTATAAGACAGTTTCCTATGTTCCTATATTGGTGTGGTTTTGGGTGGAGGTTTTGGTTTGTTTGTCACCATGCTGCCAATGTAGTTATCGCTGTTATGGAATGGGGGCTGTTACTTATTTTTGTTTTCTAACATGCCGTATGAAATGTTTTCATTTGATTTTTCTTTTCTATTGTATTTATGCATGTCTCATTCAATGTCAGTTGTATGGGGACCGCTTAGGTGACTAGTAAGTTAACAACAACAGCAACATTTGCTGATTTGCACTGTGACCCACTCCCCAGATCTTTTTCGGAGGTTTGCTGTGGAACCAGTGTGGAAGGTGACGTGGGGTGCTGGGAAAATTGTCTCCTTTCCTCTTACATTAGCAGGCACTTCTTCTGGATCAAGAGCCACTCCGCAAGTGGAGCAGCAGCAGGGGGTTTCATGTATAGCACATTGTGGTCATTCTCCTGTGCTCCACCTCTTTGGCATCTTAGTCTTCCTTGTAATGTATAATGCAGGTTACTACCATGTTTCTGTAGATCAAGTGTGTGCAGAGTGTCTACAACCTAGCTTTCCTGTCTCTGGGATTCATACAATCAATGCCAGACTAGGTTTACCATGATTTCATCCTGGAAGACATCCCAGCATCTTCAGGTAGG